CTGCCTAGTTCTTTTGGGAGGCGTGGGTGGCCGACTTCCTAAGATATACTCCATTTTAGCCTCATTTTTGAACTGACAAAATCTCACTCACCATTGCAGCTACTGATGGGATTTCTTTTGCAAGACGTTTCCAAGGCTCTAAAGTACTACTTAACGCGCATTTAGGCTGTGGTTGTATGTTCGTGCGTCGTTGTGACTGATCGGCTAAAATGTGGCCTCCCGGGGTGGTCGGTATCTGCCTTCAGGTTCAAATCTTCAGTAATAGCAAAACTATAGCAGCAAAACGCAGTTTGAGCACTGCCGGGATCGAACCGACGAACTTTGGTTCGAAACACTTTGTCGACTGACGTCGACATTCGAAGACCAACGTGGTAACCACTCCACTAAGCGCCCTTGAGGAGAAAGCGTGCATAGCACATTACAAGCGGGAAGGCCCCGTTTGATTTTGTCTCTACAATCTGCTCTGCTCGGCAAACCAAGCTTCAACAGACACCCCACATCTCTGAATTCGAAGTGGACCCGCGCATGGCTCGCTTTCTTATTGCTGGTCTAGGGAACTTCACCTACCCAAACACTAGGCATAGGTAAAGATTAGACTTAGCCCCTGGTTTCGACTAAACTGTTGCGCAATGTTAGTGTTGGACAACTAGTTCTAGAGTCTCTTGCCGCGCGATGGAATATACAGCTTGGATATGAGAAATCCCATCAAGCATGGGTCGGACGGAAAAGTGTAGACATATTTGGTAACACAACCCTCACAGATGTTACACTCGTAAAGCCAAGTACCTCTCATCCTTCTACGGTTCACTGCGTGTGCTATAAGACCTACTTCCTGTTTCAGAACTACTCATGAATATTTCGGGTCCTGCCATAACCTCTGTCCTACGAACCTTTCCCTCCGACCTACGGTCACCTCACCGACTCATCATCCTCCAGGACTCCCTCTCGCACTCACCTCGCACTATATCGCCCAAATTCGGCGGCTCTGCAAACGGACACAACGGCGTACGGAGTGTGATATCCTCTCTCGGCGCAATTGCTTCGCAGTTCCCCACTCCTCGATCTTCAAACGAAGATTTTTATCGTATTCGTTTAGGCATCGGTAGACCGGCTCACAAGGACGCGGATGTTGCTGCATTTGTACTCGATTCGCTGAGTAGAGAAGAGATGGATTGGTGGTCGTATGGAGGTGAAGGGTTGAACAAGGTTATCAAGACATTAAATGATATCATAAAGAAAGAGGGTACACCATAGTTCTTCAATACTATATACTAAGCTATTATACACGTGTCCCTATCGCTCTCTCAATCTCGAGCCAAACGATCAACAGTAAAAATTTCCGCCTCAGCCTAGCGAGAGCTGATCAGGTACGTTAGAGCTTACAATGGGCTCATTAAATCGACGTATTCAAGTATGCCTGCTAACAAAAGGTCTCGGACGCTGTAAGCGCATGGCGATTTTCGATCTGATGACTAACCAGGTAAATAAAGCTTGATTCCCGAGAGCCACCACGACCAGCCAGCTAGGGTTCTCTAAGTTATTGTCGGCCGTGTACGAACTCACCTCACCATCATTGACTTACTGCTGCTGAATGCTGTGACCCCTGCGTCTGTGTTCCAAGTCGAATTTATTAACTCAATCTCATCATCAAGCGACTTAAGAACGTCTGGATGAGAATAACCTAGGGCCATGGTTTATTGCGCGGGCAAACCCGTAGTGAAATGTATGGGATACTATGCATATATGCAGTATTTTGCTTCTGTTCTCTCCATACGGAGCTTATCCTGGCAACAATAAAAACATCATTGTATCAAATTCACCTACCCACTGCGCTACCTGCGATATGTAATCTGTCCAAGATGCAGCGGGTAGGCATGGGCCGAAAATCAATGCACTATCCCTAAAAATCAAGAAAATGCTATCAGTCTAAGTAAACAGAAGGTTTAAGATAAAACCTTACATCAACATGCGTGTAGTCGTTGTTATCGTACTATAGTACCCGAGCTGCCTGGGTTTGTTAAATTCTTCGTCCTTATGGGGGAAGTCATGCCGATGGCGGGTGTGCGATGAAGTCGAAGCGGCGCAGATTATGCGCCTAGTGCCTGAGAGCTTAGCACAGAGATGTGGCCGTTAGTGCCTACGGCCCCTATAGACCAACGTAGT